TGCAATACCTTACTGACATACTACAATTGACAAAGCATGTTAAATGGTGGTAGCTTGATCCAAAGAACTATTATGTATGTATTTTCATGACACCAAGATGGAAGCATAATCATGCAATACCAATTCTGAACTTTTGAATAATAAAGTAACTTTGCTAACCTAAATAAATCTCTACTTGCTAAAATTTCAGCCAGTAAGCTAACATAAGAGCCCATCAGTTATGTCCACATCCCAGAGGCTGGAATTCAGCAACTTTCAACACAGTGGTTTTCTACTTGGCTGTATATCAGAACCACCTAGAGAGTTTAATGGCCAAGCTTTTTCCCAGACCATTTAAACGGAAATCTCTAGGAATGAGCCCAGGCACCAATATTTTCTAAAACTCCCCTGATGATTCAAAGGTGCAGCCAGGTTGAGGTATAATTTATATAAAGTTAAATACACAGATCTTACATGCACAGTTCAATGTATTCTGACAAATGAGATTAACCACTGCATACAACTATCAAGATATAGAACATTTCCATGATGCCAGAACATGCTCTTGTGTTCCCCCTCAGTTGGTCCCCACTTGTCCCCAGATGACAACTGATCTGACTTCATAAGCCATAGATTAGACTATTCTAGAACATATCACATAAATGATATGCTAGGGTATACAATTGTTCGTGTTTGGTTTCTTTTGCTCGGCATAATGCTTTTGAGGTTCATTCATATTGTTAAGTATCAATAATACATTCCTTTTGTGGTGTAATTATACTATAATTTATTTATCAGTTCTCCTGTTGATGGTGATTTGGGTTATTTCTAGATTTGGGCTGTTTTGAATAAAGTTGCTGTGGACACTTTTGTATAAGTATTTTCATGTATATATGTTCTCATTTCTCTTAGGTAAAGATCTGAAAGTACAATTTCTGGGTCACAAGGTAGGCATATGTTAAATTTCATGAGAAACAGCCAGATTTCCAAAGTAGTTATTTTACCAGTGTATAAGTGTTTTGCTTGCTCCACACCCTGACAACATTTAGCATTGTCAGTCTTCTTAATCTTAGCCATTTAAGTAGGTATATAAGTGATATATCTTTCTGGTTTTAATTTGTATTTCCCTGATGACTATTGACATTGAGCATTTTCACATGTTCAATAGCCATTCATAGATCTTCACCATGAATTAAGTACCTGTTCAAGCTTTTTTCCCCTTAAAAAAAAAGTTGGTTTGTGTGTCTTGTTATTGAGTGGTAGGAGTTGTTTATCTTGCATATTCTGGATAAAAGAGGACTGC